AATTCCACCAAGAAATACCACTAGCAATATACCTAGTAAGAAGTTATTTATAAAATACTAGCTGACCCAGCGAACTTCGTACCGCCATAAATAAATAATGGTTGATGGTATAAGGGTGAAAATTTAGGGTTGTATGTATTTTTGTTTAATGTATCTTAAAAAAAAAAATTTAGGGTTGGATTACCCTTAACATTTAGGGGGATGAAAAATAGATGTTGTCCGATTCTCAGACCTACCCAATATGCACACAAAATTTCATGAGAATCGGGAAAGCCGTTTCGGAGCAGTTTAACCACAAACACCGCGACACGAGAATTTTATATATTAGATAAATAAAGTGACCGTGCCTGACTCATATTTCCAACTTACCTCATACTGGACGAGCATTGCGAAAGTTTTTAACGAGAACGTACACCATCCCCGGTGCAATTTAGTATGTTATATGTGCGCTTTGGCTCGTACAGTTATTAATAACATTCAATCAAATTTAATATTGAGTTGTGTTATGTTGTTCTATTTCTCCTTTGGCACGCGGCAAAACTAAGAAATCATAACCAGATTGAATATATTAATGAGCTGTTGCTTTCAAACCATTAAACAAGCTTTTGTTAACACGATGATCGTAACTGTAAAACAAACGAATCACAAAAGTTTTTTTTTTTTTTTAAATAAACACACACCTATAAGCCTAGCCGCAAAGTAAGCACTGTAAGGCTTGTGTTATGGGATGCTAGGGTAACGGATAAAATACTTAAACTGTACATATATAAGTATATTTATATAGAAAAACATATTAAACATCCATGACTGGAGTATAAATGCTCGTATTCATCACACAAACATCTGCCCCCACCGGGACTCGAACCCGGGACCTCTCGAGTCGGCGACACCATGAAACCCGGCGTACAAACCACTCGGCCACGGAGGTCGTCAAGGTTCATCCTTGATACCGCCCTCGTTTCCCTGAAAAGTCTTAATTTTTCATTTTTGTAAATTTATACCGCTCGAAGCGACCATCTAGGTGGCTTTAAAACTTACCAAGTCCCTACTGAACTCTTTTGTTAAAATTGCATTATGTTACAATCCGTTTATAAAGAGTGTTACCAACCCGTACCAAAATTTTACCCTAAGTATTTTTTAAATTCCCCTAAAATCCCCTAAATATAGAAATTTATATGTACCTACTTATCTTATTACCTAAATTCTTTCGTTGCTCATAAATAAAAACGTTACATTTTAGTTACAATAAATTATTTTATTGAATAAATACATTTTCCGAATGGAAAATCAAACGAAAATGAGCTGACAAGCTGTTAAATTTTATTTAGCTGTTTTGATTGGTGGAAGGCAAAGAACTTTAGTCCATACAGCCTTAGAAAACAACCTGCCACACAGTGAGTTCAGTCGTTTCATATCATGGTGCGTTCCGTTCTACGCACAAAACTGAAAGAAAAAACACACGCTTTGTTTTTCGATTTAATTGCAAGTTTTGTTAAAAGCCCCTAAAAGAACCCCCAAAAAATTCCAGCCCCTAAAAAAATCCTATTAAACCCTTCTAGCCCCTAAATCTGGGGGAAAAACCCCTAAGTTGGGAACCGTGTTTATAAACGATCAGAGGATAATGAAACCAAGCGACTTGATATTCATAACACTTTTATTAACACTCTTAACTTTGTTACACCCAAAGGACAGAGTTATTGCTTATTCCGTGTACCAAGTTGGAATGTGTCAGAAAATGCAAAACGTCCCCTTTTATATTCTTACCCCCGTTTTACCGACGCGACCCATTTGACGTTTATCATAGTTGTTGTATTGTCTGTGATAGTCAATACCACAACTATGCAAAAAAAGAGGTTTAAATACAATTAAACTACTAATATCAAACAAATATCTTACATGTTGATTGCAATGTAAATATATTTAAAAAAACTGTTTTCTTGAAATCGCTAAAGGCATCAAGAGGAAAACGTTATCTGTTCAAGGTTTGCTGCTCAATAAATTACACGCGAAGTTACGTTCAATACTGATTTACCTATACCTGTTGGCTTTATTCGCCTAGTCTGATTGAAGAAATGAAACAAATCTTGCATACAATACAAAATCATCGTTTGTTACAGCAACATGGATGCGAGAGACAATTTTTGGGGTTTATTTTGATTTTTGGCAAGTTTGACCGGGGGCTTCCTCTGTTTTCTCCGGACAAAGCAAGCTTAACAACGTTTTCCCTTAAAATAAACTGCTTCAAAATACAGCACCCTTGGTACGAGTTTGCGCTCACGAAAACTATCATGGTTTTCGTAATTGTAAATTATGTTTCTATGTCCATTTTGGTGAAAAGTAACCAAATATACTTAAAATTTAAGAAGACGCAAATGATTTAATGATAGAATTTAAACACTGTTTATTTCTATTGAACCCCCCCCCCCCCCCGGGCCAGCTCAATCCATCTGTACCCACTGTGACTTGACCACGATTATATGACCCCATCTGGTGCCAAAGCTAGATCCGCCCTTGGTGCAAGCTCACGAAAACCGTCATAGTTTTCGTAATTGTAAAACTCGTACTAAGGGTACAGAGCTATGCGACGTCAATGCCAGTAACGTATTATGTGCACTTTCACAGACTTATTTTCATTGTTCAACTGTGTGATATTCGATTCTCTTGCGTAGTGTGATTAGATTAGGATAACGAATTTAATGAAACGGAATATGAATGGAATGTCCGTTGCACGCTCATACAATTTACTTTTGCTATAGCCAAATGGCCATAATTCGGTGGATTATATTTTTTACATACCATCTTGTACAATTATGATATGCAATAAATGTTTGACTTTCAATAAGCTTCTTATCAAAAGCTGTGGTCCGCGTCGTGAACTGCCTCATCTGGGACACCTGTATTATTAATCTACTGTACACACAAGTTTACAGGAAACTAATTATGGAAAGCTGTAGGTTGTGGATCAAAACACAAATTAAAACAAACTTGTAATGGGAGCCCAACTCCCACTCCCTCCTTTAAATTTAAGGTTTTATCCTATGCATTATTTAATGCCCAATCATAACAAAAAAATAAAATTACCACCCCTTATCACTTAGGGGTATAAAAATAGTCAACATCATATTCACAGACCTACTGAATATATACTCAAATTTTCATAAGAATCGATCGTGTCAGAGCCGCTTCGGAGGAGATTTGTTAAAACATTGTGACAAGAGAATTTTATATATGACTTGATATCAGTAGGTTTACCTCAAAGGGCAGTGCCCAAAATAGGCTCAGCGTTGATAAGGTGCTAGGCAAACAACAAATTTCCAATATTCCCTGTCACTTGATTTCTAGGGATATATGCTTCTTTAATTGCAGCTTGTATAAAAAAATATCTCTTTCTATAAGACTTAAATTCTAAATCCAATTTGAATGATGTTATCTTTGATTATAAATGTTTTAATATTTTTATTTTAAAGGGAGGTATGGGCGTTCAATAAACAATTATACCTTTTTAATCGTTTAATTGAAATATAATATACTAAAAACAATAGAAAGTTAAAATATTCTTTACATTTTATTATGATCCACTTAGATCGTCTCACAGTTTTATTTAAATCTAGAATATTCTTAAAAATATTCTTTAATATGTATAGAAATAAAAAAAACGAGTGTGCTCATAACCACAGACTGAAGTGAAACTTCTTTAGCTCCATCTGTATGTACAATATATACATGAATGTACATATACATATTTCATTTACTAGCTATAGGAGAAAGAGAGAAAGAATGTGTGCACGCGCACTGCTTTCTCTTGCTTATATCCCCCACTCAACTCCTGTTCGCCTCGCCCGAACACACTTTTCGTAACGCGTAACGCATTCGCCAGCTTACCCCCCCAAGTCAAGCGTGCGTAAAGAAGTTTGACTTCAAAACTTCTTAAAATAGTGTTTTCCTTTTTAATGGCAAGCCAGTCGCGTGCATAACTGTTTCAATTATAAATACGTCTAATAACTAGATATGAACGTATCAATGTGAACATTTTTAAGTAAATCAGTTATCAAAAGTCTTGGATCCTCATTATCGGAAAGTGCTACATAATGTAGGTACATAGCGCCGATTATAATTTCCACGCTCATTTTGTTATTATGAATTGGCAAATTATCGTATTCAAACAACTACATTATCGATGTGTACAGATGACGGATATTATGATCGCAGGGGCCGATGCATGACCGATAGTATTTTAATTTTAAATACTTCATGACATTTTGACGCCCATGTTGACTGTCGTATATTAATGATGCATGTAAACAAATAATTGTCAATTCATTCGGCGATCGAATATAAACCATTCATTGGTTTCTATTTAAGGTGCGCGGTATCAGAGCTGTACCCTTAGTACGAGTTTTACAATTACGAAAACTATGATAGTTTTCGTGAGCTCGCACTCGTAGATTTTATTGTTATCGTTTCAATACAAATAAACAGTGTTTAAATTCTATCATTAATCATATGCGTCTTCTTAAATTTCAAGGACATTTGGTTACTTACCAATAAAATGGACATATAAACATAATTTACAATTACGAAAACTATGATAGTTTTCGTGAGCTCAAACTCGTACTAAGGGTACTGGACGGTGTACTGTACCTACATTTGGCATTAATTGTTTATTATTATGTTTATTGCTTCCTGATGTCCGCTTATGTTTGTATACAAATAATTCAGTTGTTTTTGTTATCATTGTCGCATAGTCGAGTATTGTCACGATGTAAAAAACAAACGTCACCTTCCAAATGTTATTGGTCGCTCGAATTAGGCCGGACTGATTACGCGCTATTGACTGGGTCAAGTCCAAGGCACGCGCAATTGACTCAATAAGTCTTCGCGCTGATATTTTATTGGCTATCAAAAGTGTATTTTTATATACGCGCGAGCGATGTAGGCGAATCAAAAATACATGCAAATGACTACTTTGATTTTAATAGTCATTCGTTACATTGTTACAGTTCTGGAGCAAACCGAGTCACGACAGACGAAACAGCAGGCCACCCCGGTCGAACAGCAGACCAAACAGACACAAACGACAGTGGAATTTATCGCCGAGGACGAAGATGTAAGCGAAACCTATATTTTCTATTACAATATCTCTAAAAAAAAGTTTTATTTCTAGTAAAACTTTTCTTTAGATTTAAACATCTAGCAGTTAAATGCTTAAAAATAAACAAAAACATAACTATAATTGCTATTTCTTCTTTCAAATGTTTAATACTAGAAGAAATATTCATTTGACATTGTGGGTTACCTACAATGCGAAATTTCGACGCGACCATCAGGGCCGTGGTAGCATAATTGGTCCGTGCATTCGCCCGGATTGCGAAGAGTCCCGTCCGCTGCCGGGTCCGCGTGGATTTTTTCTAGTAAAACTTTTCTTTAGATTTAAACATCTAGCAGTTAAATGCTTAAAAATAAATAAAAACATAACGATATCTCTCTTTCAACATTTGCCGATTAGCATATTATTATGATGTGAGATTGGAAGACTTTAAATAGATTCATTAAGCGTGTTTATCGGTTAAGCGGTTATGGTCGCGGTGATCTTTCGCATTGTCGAAACCTTCGAGGCTGTTGCCAAACAAATGATATTGTGTAAGTTGTGCGAGGCGAGCTCGGCGTTCGCTCGGTCGTAGAATGTCGCTCGCTCACGCTCACGGCTGGCCACGTTGTTTAATCTGCATGCCCAGCGAGTGGTGCTGTCTGGCTTAAGCACTTTCTACCATGTAGGTACCGCGGCCGAATGTCAAGCGCGCCTATTGCGATATACAGACACACGAGTTACGCCTCGTTATATGTATACAAATTAAAATTCTCAAGTTGCTTCTAGTGTCGTCCCTACTAATATCAGGCAAAACGTGATTTGGAGTATCTAATCATGATCACTTTCGCTTTAAAGTGCGCGTGCAGCTTATATATTGAATTAACTACATTGAAATGTATATATTCTAAAAATCTGTTGTCTGTTTACTTAAAGTATTTGTTTCTTAGGTTTTCACGCACATCACTCATTAAATAAAACTAGTTTTTACGGGAAAATTGGGAGACCTTCCTGAGAAGAACCGGCGAAACAAACTCAAGAGAGGCTCAAGAGTTAGAGTCTTGTTTCGCCGGTTCTTCTCAGGAAGGTCTCCCAATTTTGGAACCGGTGGTAGTTTACGGTAGTTAGGGTCAAACAAATAAATAAACTCAAAATTACAAACAAGAATTTTAAATAAAATACTTTATTAAGTAAATTAAATAATAAATTCATACATAGACAATAAAATTTTAAAAATCTTCCAATGAAATAACCGAACGCTCAATATAAGTCTTTCGAAGGTAGCTCGACAATTTTAAATAAAAAATCATTATTCTGACGATGCAGACCTGAAAAGGCTGCGAAACGTCAATAAATAAATAAAGTTTCGTGCATTAACCCGTAAAAACTAGTTTTGTTTACTTAAAGGTTTATTAGATTAAGAGCGGACGCGAGCTGAGAGACATTGGAGTTATAGGTATTGGAAAAACGATTGCTATCACGCATTGACAAATAGGGCTGAAAATTACGTATAAAACTTGCAAAATTTGAGGTTTGCCTCGAAGATTTCCATCTCGAAAATTAGATATACCTATGTAAAATAGATTTAATCCATAGAATAATAAGTAGTTATACTATGCCTGTATGTTTTGCTTCTTTCGTAAATGCTTATAAAATCTCCACACTAGACGTCTTTAGTGGTAATTAAAATTTTGCATTTTTTGCGAGGTTCTAGTTCTTCTTTGAAACACAATTTATCAAAAAAAACAGTAGCATAGAATGAGTATAATTATATTTTATGTATGAAAAGCAATAGGGATGATGACTATTTTTTTTTCTTCTTTTATCAGGTAGATTATTAAAAAGTATTGGGCACGTATTTTTTCTTTTTTCTCATAATATAGACATTGCAGTGATATATGGATTTGAAAAGTCGCATGACGACACCTTTGAGTACACTTTTAAATGAAAATTCACTAAAAAGTGACGTCACGAGCCCCTACTCCCAAACTTTGACGCGCTATAACTTTGTAATTTTTTGGTTGATTGCCCAAAGAAAAATACGTGTCCATTATGATTGACGTGATTTTGATCATCTAACTGACGGACTAAATAGAATTTCGTTTACTGTAAAATCAAGGAGGAATAAGTCGAGAACGCTTGTATAGAAAAAAAAATATTGTCCGCCTTTACAGATATACTTTATCAATAATTTCCAAGAATTTAACCTTCTTTTAAACAGCTTTCTTTTTATGATAATAATTATAATTGCAAGTTTACATTTCAATGTCCCAGCAAACGTAAACTTTCATTGTAGTGTGACAGCTGCCACTTTAATTAGTTAACTCGTTAAGTTTATCTGGCCGGAAATATTTAATCAAAAATCAATTGTTTTCTGACCTTTGTATGTCATATTATATACTCATACATAATGATATTTGGTACACAAGAGGCGTTCCGAATTTTCAAATCTGCACTTGGAAAAACGTCCCGTATAGTCCCGCTGGTAGTTAATGGAATAAACATCGGCATTCCTGATCTTTGTTAAAAATGTATAGTCATAATTTTTATATTATTTGCATTTTTTGTTTGTAATGGAAAGTGACTTCATGAGTTATCTCATGTTGAAGTAATTTTTCAAACTGACGACTCTGTATATAATACAGGGAGAAAAAACAGCCCTTGCTAAGTTTCTTGCCGGTTCTTCTCAGTACAAGGTCTCCCGCCGTAGATTTGCGAACCGATGGCTTAGCTTTTCGACATTCACAAGTGCTTGTAAGAGGCCTAGACTGAATAAACGATATTGAATTTTGAATTGAAACTACTTTCAGTAATTTGAACGGCATTATGAGTATTTATTGGTGACCATTTAAGGTTCGATAAAACTAAAATGTATAAATATCCCTACAATTCATCATTTAATTACAGTGTTTTCTACTATTTTAATTTGCTGACTCACTGATCGGCAAATAAAAACATAGGAAATAGCGGCGGGTTTTTCTAACATCCCGTCTCGTATCACACAAAGGTAATCATCAGTTAAACGGATAAAGAAAAGATCTCGTGAATCCATCACAATGGCTTCAGAGTGCGGATACTGCCTGGCGTCGTCTTTCGTCCTCACAAACAATGTCGCATTGTGTCTATCACAGATTCGCGCTTCATTAAAATACGGAAGAAATCAATGCACAAAAGTATGTACAGCCTAGCGGGCTGTACATATTTTTGTGCATTGATTTCTTAGGCATGTTCATACTAAGGAGCGGACAACAAGAGATTAGCAACGGTAAATAGTGTATAAAAATATAATCTAACAAGTGGGTTAGTGACACACGCACGGAAACGGCACGCAGTCTGCCGGAATACGTTGACCTGCGCCTGCCACGCTACATTTCCACCACTCACCGAATCTGTAAATGTGCCGTGGCGGAACTCCATCCATCTCAGATGTTTTAGTAATAGTATTATGTGCTAGGTCTACTGTAAGTGGGTTTCTTGGTAATAATAATATTTGTGCTAACCCAATGAAAGCATAGAATATATGAGATACTAACTTTTTCTCGACGATAGGAACACTTTCGGAAAGTATTGCTGCCAAGCGGGATGAGTTTACCGTTTTCGAACAATAATAACTTAGGGTCTGTTGATGGCAATGTAAAATACTGGGAAAATTTAAATTTCTATACTTAAATTGTTTCGAAAAATAAATAATAGCTTAATAAAAGAAAGAAAAAACATACAAAAAATAGAAAAAATACCGAGCTCAGGATCAAACCACCGATCAGACGGTGTCGACCCCAAGATCATTACCGTTCGGCTATCCGTCTCTTATGGTAAATGATAAAATTACGGATACCTATCTTGTGTCAAATACTCTACTTCCGTTCCATCGAATCTCACATCAAAATGGTACTAAAGAAGTTTTCACTTCAAAAAACAATATGCAGATCATTAAACGATAATTACAAATAGAGGAAAGTATACGTTGTATAAGTGCAGGTGTTATTAAAATTAATTAAGGTCGGTTTTGATTGGCTTAAATTAGTTGGCGTTGGCGCATAGAGAGGGTCTCTATTACATCCTTGAATTACAGAATATAATTTATAGTAAATTAACATAATGGTTATAATAAATAAACTAGTTTGCTGACCATTTTAGCGTTGCGTTGTAAAGACAGTTTTGGCTGTCAAGGGAAGGGCGTACTGAATGGCAATGGCTTTATTTTTAACATATATATAATTCACATATGATTCACTGACCTACATTTTATCGTTAACACCTATATTTTAGTGAAGATTAATGAGCGTAAATTACAAGAATGATTTTTTTTATCCTATAAGCAAATGGGTAAGTCCGTATATCAATTTGCTGTATCTAACCGTAATGAGGTCGCTTCTACCTATGTATTGAAATTGTGCATAATATTTTGCACTCACCACGGAAATAACCGAACCAAATTTTCCAAATTAAACAATAAGGAAATACTTATGTTTTTTTTATTTATTTTTTAAGCATATAACTGCTAGATGTTTTAAATCTAAAGAAAAGTTTACTAGAAAAAGTATTCATTTGACATTGTGGGTTACCTACAATGCGAAGAGATGGCGCTGCCTTGCAGCTTAAGACTAGGAAAATTTCGACGCGGCGAATAGGGCCGTGGTAGCATAATCCGTCAGTGCATTCGCCCGGATTGCGAAGGGTGCGGGTTCGAGTCCCGTCCGCTGCCTGGTCCGCGTGGATTTTTTCTAGTAAACTTTTCTTTAGATTTAAAATAGGGAAATACTTACTAATCACTAATACAGTAGAAGATTGTTGGTTTAACCTGTACGTTTAAAATGCAAGTATACAGTTTTCGGTCACGCAAGACTTGGTTCAGCAGATATGTGGTTCCGGAGTAGAGATAGACCGTGCCCGTGAAATGAATGAAAATCCTCGCAAAAAAAAAAAAACAGTCAAGTGCGAGTCAAATTCACGCACGAAGGGTTCCGTATTGTCTATACAAAATTACGCACTATATTATAATACCGAGCAAAAAATTTTGT